TCTTCTGGTTACCCTGAATGAAGAAAAGGCTGTGGCGTTACCGATGGCGTAGCAAAAAGTGAGCTTGCAATTAGTTTTATACGCTTTTCTTGGTTTCGCTGAGGCCTCTCCCCCGATTGAAGTGATAGGTCATGAAATGATTCCAGTGTGACTGGCTCATAGCTTTTGAAGGACCTCTGAAGATCCATACAATGAAACATTGAGCATTGGATATTCACCAGCCCTAGATTTTCAACGTAACAACAGTCTGCTAAGTCGTAAGGAACACATATCCACTGCCGGGTGCGATGGAAAAGAGCAATGGGTATTTTTTGAAAATTAAAATCAACAGAACCATAGAAATATTACGATATGACGTGCTGCTGTTGAATGAACCGTAACCAAGTTGCCGTTGGAACGTTTACTGGGAAGTGAGCTTACAACTCTGCCCATCTGGTGCATCACCGACCGAAAATTTTGACCGCTACGCTCAGAATTCACTAGGATAGAGGGCTCCTTGTCTCCCTCTCCGAATCAGAAACGCCTAGGAGGGCGTTGAACTTCCTGCATGACTTGTTTATGAGCACATCTTGCCAGTAAAACTTCTCCGTGAAGCAGTAAATTGTTTGCACGGCAACCTCGAGCTGTTCAAAAGATTTTGTGTGCTGCAATTCCGAAGAGTGCTGCTTGTGAGATTGAGCGCTCCTATACAAAATTTTTATTGTCAGAAGCATAACAAACTGGACCCCTTTAGAGCGCGAGTTTGCCTGAGTGGCATCTTTGACATGGAACTTCTTTCCATTGTTTTACGCTGTCTCATCGCCAACTCTAGAGTATGTCCTACAAGCAAAATGTAACAGTATGTTGCAGTTTTTGTTATATGTTTTCTTCTTCATTAGAGAGGGCCCAAGTATGAAACAACTCTCACAAGCCCGTTAGTTGGTCGTGCACCGAAATTCTCGACGGCTTCGGTGAGTTGCACGACCCCGAACTAGGAAACATCTATACCTCTATCTGAGGGAGAGAGTGGAAGAGTAAAAAGAGAAAATGCCTTCAGAGAGAAAATTTATTACGAAGTGGCAGAAAAGCAGAAAGAGAAAAAGGTAAGCCGACATGAGAATTGATTGAGACTTTGCTCATCAATCAGTTCACTGGGAGCAAAGTCTACAGTGCACTCCAGTCGATGGTGCGCAACTGCCTTCCACTATTGAGCACATTAGTGAACTTGAAAAATAAGGGCCGCTAGAGCCTACTGAGCTAGAACATCTCGGATTTCCAAAATAAGAAACAAAGCATGGATGCTGAAGAGAATAAAGCCTTTCAGAGCCCAAANGAAGAGGATTAGACGAAGGGCAAGCTGTGTGTAAATATATCGAAGAACGGCAAAAACAAAAAGGAAAACCTCAAAAATAATCCAGTTGATTAGANTGGAAAATAACGGCCGCTAGAGCCCACTGAGCTAGAACATCCCGGATTTCCAAAATAATAAACAAAACATGGATGCTGAAGAGAATAAAGCCTTTCAGAGACCAAATCAAAAACTCCTGCGATCAAAATCTCAATGATAGCTGCTCTTGTTGGGTACCACTTTCAAGCTAACCGAACGAATATTCAGTACATCTCTCTCAAAGCAAGGGGAGTGAAACGGGTTCGGACTAACAACAAGTGTGGCCTATCTTGGGAAACAACGACCCTGGCATCTTTATGCCACGCATTACCCCCACGGTTCCTATCCTTCTTGAGAAAATGCTATCATCTAGAGCGGGTGGAAATGTGGACTAGGCTGCACCTAACTCCTCTTTCTATGAAGGTCTTTTGGCTAGACAGCTCAAAGAAAAGAAGCAACGAAGAAATAAAAACGAAGAAAAATGATGAAAAGGAATCAGAAAATTAAACGAAGCAGGTATTCCATGATCGGATAGTCCCATGCTGGCTTTTGGATCGGGAGCACAAAAAAGGTTCTAGAAAGAAGTATAAGCGATTCTGGAGTGAATGACAATCGTCGAATAAGTTTTGCTCTCCATTTTTTTTGAAGACATCGGAGCTCACATTTTTGGGCGATTGTTACTGGTTCTGATCAGGATGGAGAATTAGATATGACAATTTCAATAGGAAATTCAATAGATCAGACTATGGGAGACTGTGGAAGGAAGAACCGATGACAGAAAGAGATTCGTCATATCTGAAGGTAGCGAAAAATGTACAAAAATGGCTCCATAGACTTAATGAAAACACAGAAGAGGATTAGACGAAGGGCAAGCTGTGTGTAAATATGTCGAAAAGACCGCAAAAGCAAAAAGGAAAACCTCAAAAATAATCCAGTTAATTAGAACTGCTATAAAATTATGCGGAAAAATGAAGCGATTCGGTATGGATCCTCTTTCAAGCAGAACTGACGATTAGCTGTTTCAGCTAAGGATCAAGCGATGACCTCATGTCATCAAATAAAAGAAAAAAGTAACATAAAAAATTAGAAATTAAAAAAAAAGTTTATTCGCGGCAGGCTTAGGAGACCGCACACCAAACCCGCACCGCGCATCTCTTTTCCCGCCTTTATCGACCACCCAGATACCCCCTCCAGCCTTTGCCATAGTATTATTACCTAATCTACCCGGTTCACACAAAGCCAAGTACAGTACACAGTTAAGTACAGTACCGTTTTGTATTTAAAGCAAAGTAAGCGGTGCTGGTGGTCTTGAAAAGGCAACGGCAATTCAAACTGTTAAAAAGCTGGTCACAATCAGAAGGGTGCGAAGTATGATGATAATGAAGGTGGTCCGAATGTTCCTGAATTTTTCGGATTTTGTCTTGGTTTGGCTGAGTGATTCCGCCTATTTGTGCTAGCTGGCTGCTGAGAGGTATGGGCCAAGAAGAGCAAGCACACTTGGTAAGATTGCACTTCCTAATCCCTATCCAGCCTCCATCCAAAAAGAAGAATTACGTAAAATCCCTAAGAAAGAAAGTGTGTCGACTACTCGAACCATCAGATTTGAATATGTTGGACGATGAAAGTTCTAGGCATACCAATCCAAGGTTGACAAAAAACCACCAAAAGGCATCAGCTGATGTACAGCAACTCCTGTGTCTAATCCCTTTTAATCCTTATTTTGTCTCTAATTAAGAAATATTCGACCGGTGAGAAGTACCTACTGCATGGTCCATTAATTATCGCTGTAGCTTGAAGCCGCCTCAATAGGCTCATTATAATCCCGATTTGTATAGCTGCCATTTCAAGCCAGTCACCCCGCAAAAGGCGGAATTGAATGCACAGTTTACAAAAAGAGTTACTTCTCGAAACATCCCTGTAAAATGAATCTGTGACATTCAGGTATGCCACATGCGTCCTTGCTAGATCGAAAAAAAGCCAAGATAGGGCCTAATAAGGGCTCAAAGATTCTATCCACTGTATGCCTCGCCGTCGATCCACTAGTACTCATCAACACTTTCGCTTTCCAACTTAGAAGGGCACATTAAGAGTATCATGAATTGCGCCTTCAAGTGTAGGCAGTCTTTGTGGTTAAGTACTTTGATCAATCCTGACTTTCTCCTCGATTCCAAGTTAAAGTTCACACACCCCCACTATTAAGCGAAAGATGTGTCCTTGGCGAATTCTAGGGGTGAATAAGTTAAAAGACATCAACAATGGTTCGTAAGTGGTTAGTAGAATTTCGCGCACCTCAGCTCTACTTCAACTTTGACCCCCTTGCGATTTCTTTTCGTCGACATCCACATTCGCAAGTATAAAACCAATTTACGTTACCTGGAAATTCCGTGCCTCCTTCGATCCACAATTTATGCAGTAATGTCAGTCGAGGCACCGTCTGTCAGCGGTATTTTCGAGTAGGATACCTACCTTAACAAAAACATACCACACCGTCTAACTTGTACTTTATTCTTACTTATTTCATATTAAAGCCATGGACAATAAAGAAAGCATGAAATCTAATTTTCTGCGAAGATTACTTATAAGGCAACATCGTATGATCGTTATTCTCACGAGGATCTCATTGAAAAACAATACATAAACATAAACAACTTGGAAATTAAAATTTCAACACACAAAATTCAGCTATCAATCGTTGTAATTGAATTTCTTGTCATGCATTTCTCCTGGATATGCCAGTTGTAGATTGACCCGTCCAAAGTCATATACCTTGAAAAAATATGAAAATTTGATTTTATGAAAAATAGAAGTGACAGCCGAGAGCTTAAATAGGTCGTTGACTACGCGTTGAAAACTGCCAATATGACTTGACGGGATACTCGTTTTTCTAACTAATATTTTTATTTTATTACTTTTAGTCCGGAATAAAACTCCGGATCGATACTCACCCATTTCAATCAAGCCCTTCAGTCCTCCAGGGTTAGTTCACTGGTACCAGAACCAACTTGTTTTGACTTGATGTTTTGCTAACTGCTGTTATTTTGCTCGCACTACGCGATGCGAAAGTACATTTGCACACAAGTCAAAACACAAAACATCAAGTCAAAACAAGTCGCATCAAGTAAAGCTTACAGCTTAACGGATTGGCTGACCGGCTCAACACGTTGTACGTGTGGGTCCTGATAAGCTATGGCATATAAACCATTAAGAAGGTGGGGGCGTCAGGGTCTCGGCCCGGAAAGCACAAGTACGGGTCCCGTTCGAGACTGAAGTTTTTTTTTNTTTTTTTTCAACTCGCCAATGTTATGTGGTACCAAACTCGTCTGGGAGCATAAAAGCACTGACTTGTAAAGCGGCTCTCCACCGCAAGTCATTGTATTGGCCACATACACATTCAATACGCCACTGATTCTGAATGGAAGTCAAATACGGTACGGGGCGCACCACTCAGATGGAATTGATCAACTCCCAACGACTTGATTTCTAATCCTTCATTACTTCGAGAGAGAATACCGCTCTGTTTGCCACCGGATTATCAAAGAAATGCGGACTTCCCACCACAGCAAAAATGCCTTTTCGTGAGCATTTGATTTTGCAAATGTTAGAAGGAGGAGGTCTTTTCCAGTAACCACGGTTTTCAATGCGAGCAGAATTTGGAAATTCTTAAAATAATTCTCCGTCGAAGTTGTTCGACTGTTACCTTTCGTGCTCTTGATCCTGTGGTAACGTAATCTGCCGGTAACCGAATTGCCCATCGTTTGTAGCCAAGCTAAATGGAAAAAGCATAGGATCTTGCAACTAATCTTGAATTCAGATCATAATTTCAAATTTCTTCAATGTATTAAAAACCTGTCAACCCTACATTAGCTGTCTGTCGTGGATCCATGTCGCAATTATGGTGAATGGTCACAAATGGTTCGATTTCAGTTTGCGTAGAAGGGAACTTCGCAGTGGATCCTTCAATTTGGAAGTATCCTGTTTCTCCAGTGTGCACTTGACCAAGCAGTTGCGAGAGATCTGAAAATGTGTTTACCCGAATAAATCGTTGAAACGACTCCGAGAAAGCCAGGTGGTACGTTAGGGCGTGCCCGGATCGAGATCCAGGCCGGTCTGTGGTTGCTAGTTTGAAGAATTAGGGCCAAATAAGTCGAGCAAATGGGCTAAAACAACGTCACCGACTTCCTAGACATTTTCCTAAAACATTTCTGAAACCTAAATTCATGGAAGCATTCGAGACTGTCATCTGGGATATGGTTGGGGAAGGCTTAGCTGGTCTATAGAAAGAGCGGAATCACCTATACTGCTTCCTTCCGATACAAATCCTTCACTTATTTAGATGAAGTTCTCCTCATGCATCAAGAAAATTCACCACTCGATGGAGATTTCAGAGGAAGAATGGGCTGTATTAGTATTTCTGAGGAGGGGTTGCGCTGAGTGGAACGCCCAACTTTGAAGTGCATCGTTGGTAAAAGACTAGGAAAAAACTACTTCATCAGCCCAGCGAATATTACATTTGAAATATTCAATTAATTTTCTATTCGAAATCACAGGCTAGTTGGGGAAGGTGCTTGAAGTGCCCTGCAAGCAAAACTCCCTGAGACATCTGATCCCCGACCTACTGGGTGGGCTATTCCCTCCTGAACCAAAATATATAAAAGATCTGGTAACGAGTTCACTGGCAACCATTTCTGTATGAAACCTGAAAGTATCAATGAAACAGATGAACCCACCATCTACAGCATCCTTCTGATAGATTCGGAATAATCGAACCGTGGCTCCTTGCATTCCTTGAGCACCACACAAAAGTGTACCTCTGATAGCCATCGAGCTGAATTGAAGCTACTCCAAAACCAACTCAATGAGCATAACATTTTACAAAGTGATAGTAAAAACAATAACAATTGCATTTCCCGGGTTTTATTGATTCCGCGAGGGGATTATGGTCATCCAAATTGTATTCTGTATTCGAAGGAACAAAGAAGGCCCTGAGATTCGTGATCGGTAACGGCATAGCCGAGCATCGATCACCCACACTCCACGGAAGCACAGTTGTGAAGATCCAAACATCAGTGCGACAGATTGTTTTCTAAACCCGCTAGTTTGATGCGAGGGCATCCTTGCTATCACTATCCGAGGTTGAGAGGGCAAAAAAAACAGTTTCAATCCGAATTTAAGCTCTTAGTCATTTTTCATCTACTTCTGGTTCAGTCGATAAGTCTCAATAGCCCATTTTGCTGACAGCATCCATTCGTCATAAATGAAAGAACGAGGGCTAAGCTTGAGTTTTCTCCAGTTTTCCGGCTAAACAGCTCATTAGCACCTATGAGTAGTAGTTGGCTCCCTCCACCACCACCCGAGCATTCGGTAGTTAGGCGGAAGTTACAGTTCAGTAGATTGCTACATACATCAACAGTTTCAGCCTAGATCAACTATCGATCGTCTAGATGGCCGAGCTTGAGAAAGCTTGTGCGCCCAATGTTGATAAATCCACCGGACAAATATCAAGGAAGTCAACGGTGAAGAGGGAAGTGATCGTGTCTTGTGACAGGTGATAAATCTTATCGTTGGGAGCTGGCATTGAGCTTACCATAAGCATCAAGTGTAAAACGGACCGCAGTCTTCTCACTACAGCTCATCCATGGGCTTTTTCAAGTAAGCAAATTTTGTGAACAGTTGAAGGACTCTTCTAACGAAAATAGGATTCTGACCGATTGGCCACATTCGACGGCACATCCAGGTCCTTTCCTTGACCATTGACGAATGGTACGAGCAGTAGCAGAAGGAACGGTGTCATGTGGCTGGAAAAGAAGCAATAATATCGAGTAGCTAGAAGTAATCGGGAGTTGTTAAATGTCAAGACGATCACAGTAAGAGCGGCTAGACAGTGAGCTAAGCATTCATCGAGTGTTTACATCCCCAGACGAGGCTACTGATAACACATCTCCCCGTCGCTTTGATCTCTTGGTTATCGAAAGCGAAATACAAAAAACTTCAGAGCAGTAATGGAGTAAACACCAACAAATTGGAGGATGGTCTTTTTGATGAATCCTGGAAGTTCTTTTACGAGGCGATTTTTCAGGCCTTTACCACGACCTGAAAATGAACGATCAACTGAACCAAACGGCTATTTCTTCAACGCCTTCAAGGACTAGATATTTAGGCTTAGTAAGTCGAAATGGACGTCCTGAACTTCACTTTCGAAGGGAAGCTCTGGAAGCATGTACAATTCAGTAACTGGCTGGTGTGAATTCGAAAAAGAAGTGATCACTCAGTTTTTGATTACATCTTAGTCCCACAGCCCAGACAATCAATAGAACTCGACAAAGGGAAAATCTCATCAATCAAAAATAGAATTCTCAAAAGTTTCGAACATTTTTGTAAAGCAGTAAAAATACGAGAAAAGAACGAATCAGATTTCAAACGTTGAGATCTGGGCAGCCATTTGGCGAAGCAAATCGCAAAGTGTTATGTTTAAACACTTGGTGTTTTCCTATCGCCGAGCAAAGTTTAACGTATGTCTGGATAGCAGAGAATGCAATATAAATATAAACATTTATTCTATATACTAAACATAAACATCAAGCAATAAACAATGAATCGTAACATCGGGTATAGGCTGCCCAGAACTGATCGGTCAAAAAATTTCAATAGCGGGAGGGATTAGAAATAACGTCGCTGAGCAAACGTATTTATGTTTATGTTGTAAACAACTGCGATTAATCTTTCAAAGAATAAGGGTATCTGAACGGAAAGAATAAGGGCATTTGAACGGATCCCAAATAAACAGCAGTATGGGTAGCGGTAGTATTTTGGACTGGATTACCATCCATCTTATGATCTCCCATCTGCCTACCAGGTCGATGATGGCCCTGTTTCAGAGTTTAAATTATTCAAAACGTTTGAAATGCATACTTTTAGGTTAAAAGGAAAACAAGGAGGAACGATAGAAAACGTGACAAGAAAAATAAAAAATGAAAGCAGAGTGTGTGCAGAAAGGATACGTTTTCATTGGGAAAGATGCTCTATCGAGGATACTCTCTGTGAGAGCACTGAGGAAGCGATCATTCGATGACATTATGAGGTCCATCGCCGGAGAGGCTATAAAAGAATCCTAACAGAGTGATCCTTCCCACTCGTGTGGATACAGCGTCTTGCGAATCGATATTGCTCCGATAGATGTGTAAAAAGATCGAATCTCGTCTGCCTCTGGTCACTCAGCGAGCTTGGGAGAAGCGCTGCATGGGGAAAAGTCGCACAGTTAAAAGCACAATACGCGACATATTGCGTTCAGAGAGTTGTTTACTTGTGGCTCCTTGAATACGGGTGTATGATCGCTGGGCTCAAGAAACACTAAATTAGAATGGGAGGCATCAGCAAGACAAAACCAAAAGAATACATGTTCCCAAGTCTTGTGAATATGCCCCGTCTCTTTAGCCGTCAGCAATCCCTTTAAAGCTCAACCTGTAGTCTTTTTTTTGGCAATGGCTACTGAACTGGGGTAATTACCGGAGCCCTGAGAGTATGGTTGGGAGAGATACTTTTCGCGGTCATCGATTGCGCTTTTATAGGAGTTGACCGTTTGCAAAGTTTCTTAAAAACCCATGCTCTGTAGGGCGGAACAAAATAGAACGTGATAAGGGGATTAATCACACTTGACAAGGTTGGGATGCACATGCGAAGATATTCACTGATAGGAGTTTCCGCTCCACGAGCCCACGCAAGAGCAGCCAACAAAGCTGTTGGTACGAAGCCAAGGATCGGGAGCATGGCTTGCATTGTGAGAGCCTGAAGAAGAAAAACATATTTTTCGTCGATCAAGTATATCAAAATTTTATCGGCCCAAGGCGTCAGATTAGATTAGACCCTAATTTCAGGATATCTAGTTCTAGATGGATAATAAGAAGGATCGTCAGAACAGCACAAAGGTAGCGCAAAAAACGCGAAAACCGGTATATTGAGAATAAATAAGGCTCCGAAAAAGTAGCAAAATCAGCGGTTGGACGAGAATGTGATGCAGAAAGTTGGGAGGGTGGGAGGATTTTTAGAGGAGCTCTCCATATGTGCCTATCATTGCGCGGCTGGCTACAGTAGCCTCCCTGCGTGCAACGTATGCGTCTCGGTGTGAATGGTGCATGCTATGCCACGAGAACTCGTCCTTCTTTAGGTGTGTACGTCGGCTAAGCCAGTTTTGGCGGTCAGCGGTTCACAGCTTGCAAAAAATGAAGTTTTGACTTTTTATCTAATGCCAAAAGCAGATTTCGTGAGCTTACCTTCAAAAACATTTTGGAACTTTGAACTGTTTTCTCGCTGTATCGATGATTCGAGTTGTCAAAAGTTTTCAGTATTAAACGTCTGAGATAAAGAATAAGAGTCGGTGAAGTAATCGCAATTGCGGTGCCAATGAATGTACAGATGGTCAGATTTAAATCTTTCGTTTCGTATCCTCCGAATTCCCCATATCTGAATATCGACGGTTTAGAGAATGGCAAGACCGAGTTTGAGACCGAACTCACCTCTCTAAATTGTAATTAGGATGCAAGCGGATTACATCTTTCATGTCAAACTGTGAGGGCCCAATAAGCGGAAGAATCTGTAACAGACCGGACTTATTTCCAATATTCTCTTTCTTTCTCACATTTTTCCAACAAAAGCATGGTTATTATTGGAAACGCCATGATCTCTGTATTCACGATTTTCCCAAAACAGCCACTTTATTGCCGTCTAGAGGTTTCCATAATAATTAGAAGGTAGAGTTCTTTCGTTAACCTCTCAAACTCCACATTTATATCTACAGGTTGCCATTAAATTATAACAGTGAAAATGTAATTGGAGGGTTTCTCCTCCTCTCCAACATTAGGAGCCGGACCGCAGAGAAGAATGGGTAGCCCATCTGTTTGTGTGCCCTTCAATGCTTTGCGGGCCCATAATGATGCAATCTTAGTAGAAATAGTCTTATAGCACGTTATCGCTTGCACTTTCGAAAGGAAAGGAATCAGTGGTCAACTAAAACATTACCTTTCGGAAGCGCATCAGTTCTTCCCCTTTCCCAGCTTTTTGCACAAGGTTATCACCTCGCCTACCCCGACACTCCCCCCTGCCCCCTCCTGAGGAATAGTTCAAAAAACTGTACTTCCCCGGCTTCCGAGTACAACATGTCCGTAGAGCCGGTTACCCTTCCTTCCTTGCGCTATAGCGCATTGGTTACAGAAGAGGGGTTCCACCGCCCAAAGGGGAAGTGGTCGTTTGGGGCGGCCTCTCGCATCGCGCCCCCCATTCCAAGCGGTTTCTGGGGTGGACAACTCGTCCAGGTGAACGCACGACCCAATGTCCATCCAGCGGATAGGCGCCCTATCGATGACGCCGCTACTATTAGCCACTTGTGGACAACACTGGACGCCGACGGATCGCGTGCCAGTGCTGTAAACAAGTGGCTAGCGACGCTCCTTGGTCAGATGATCGTCCATGCACGCACGAAACGGACGCGCGCACGGACGATCGTCGGTTGTGTCTTTGAGGTATGAAAGCAGCTAATAAAGGTCGATCAGTTCAAATAGGGGAACGGTGGGATAGTTTGTCAACAAATCGTTAGCATATGACGAGGTCGATATCGTCCAAGACCAGAAGTGCAGTAAGTGTCTGTCAGATGGCCTGAAAGTTGAAGCTGTCGCATTATACCGCCCAAACAATCATCAGGAAACGCTTGGGGACGAAAAAGACGTCTCCAAAAGCGGCCGCTCTCTCGGAGAGGAATAAGTGAACGCGCCTTAAAAGGCACAGTCCACGATTATTTTGAGGTACCCTTTTCGGTTGAAGTGCG